CTAATAATTTAAATATAATGTACAGTTTATAAACTTATAAATGAACCTAATTAAATCAAGTTCACTAATTATTTAAATCAAATTTATAATATATAAAATATTATTTATAAGTTTAAAATTAAATATTAAATTAATCCGATGATTTTGAACAACATATTTTAAGGTTTTGTTCTAAATGAATTTTAAATAATTAATTTAGATTGATATCATATCTCAACATAACGAAAATTATGTTCTAAACATAAAAAAATAATTGACTTTCTAATAAAATTAAATATAATTAATTAAAATACATATTTATATTTTTATAATCTAGTCAACTTTAATTAATTTATTATAATTGGGAGAATTTTCATAATTCCGTGACACATGAACTTCAAGTTAGTGGGCCGGGCTAAGCCCAAACTAGGAATAAAAGAATATTTTATTAATTTTTTTTTATATATATATATTTAAAAAAATATTTGTCAACATCAATATTTTTTATGAAATGGCCCCTACATTTTCTTTTTACGATGTTGACGTTTAAAGCGTCGGTTATAGTAAGAAAAAGGACAAGTTTGTAAATGATAGGACAAAGAATCTATCGATATTCATATAATAGTACGATATTTTTCACGAAAAATCTAAGCTAATTCTTACTCGAAAATCTCTCTCGTAATATGTTGTCAAAAATCTTCTCAAATTTCTGATGGCGCTATGTTCATAAATCATCCAACACGGTAGAAACCTTGTATACGAAACATGTCTTAATAGATATTTAAGATTACAACAATTCGAGATAAAAATCGTCTTAGTCGACATGAATAGAGAGTATAAGTTTTTTGAATGATCGAGCGATGAATAATAAAATTTTATCGTGTAGCATATCTATGCACTTTGTTCTCATGGGACAACAATTTCTGATTTTCAAAAAGAAGGATCAGCTTTTTGCCCTATGGTATGTCCTATCAAATTCTTCTTCCATTGGAAGTATTATAGGCCCCTCCCCATCTTTCTTACTGGATTACATCACAAATAAATATTGTATGTTTTAGCTCGTTATGCATATCCATCAGTCTCACGATTTTAAAATACGTTTACTAGGGGAGAAGTTTTCACACGTTTATAATGAATGTTTTGTTCCCCTCTCCAACCGATATGGGATCTCATAATCCACCCTCTTAGGGTTCCAGCGTTCTTACTGGCACATCGCTCGCTGTCTGGTTCTAATACCATTTGTAGTAGCTCAAACCCACCACTAGCTGATATTGTTGCCCATTACGTATCACCGTTAGCCTCACAGTTTTAAAATGCATCTTCTAGGGAGAAATTTCCACACCCTTCTAAGCAATGCTTCATTTTCACTATCCAATCGATATGTGATTTCACAATCCACTCTTCTTAGGGGCCCAACATCCTCTCGCTGGCACACCACTCAGTGTATGGCTCTAATACCATTTGTAATAGCCCAAGCTCACTGCTCGTAGATATTGCTCGTTTTGACCCATTACGTATCATTTTCAGCCTCACAGTTTTAAAACGCATCTATTAGGGGAGAGGTTTCCACACCCTCCAACCGATGTGGGATCTCAAAAGTGTAGACGTTTCAAATCTTCTCAATCATTCAAAGTAAGACCCTTATCCTCTCTCGAGCAATATTACGACGTGTGTGGACATATTTTGAATTTAAAATAGGAAAGAGGAGGAGGATGAAGGGTGGTATGATTCTGATGGAGATTTGGTGTGCTAAAATAGAAGGGGAGGAGGAGGGGAATAGGGGTCCATTTGGTTTGGAACTATGTGGATTATGGTTAGTCTTCTCAATTCTCCCATTTCGAAGCACCCCATCGTACAGACATAACCCACAAAAAGTAACCCAACTTGCTTCACGTGGCCTCTTTTGCTCCATCATTACTTGCACACACTTTGTTTTCTTCTTCTTCCGCGTCGTTTTCGGTTCGGTTCGGTTTTGGTTTAGGTTTAGGTTTCGGTCTTACTTCAACTTGAACAAGATGAACAAGACTCGTAATGAAATTGTTAGTAAACCAAGTTTTGATTCTTTTAGAAATGGAAAGTAAACGACAGTTCTAAATTGACAAGTTTTGGTAAATCCACTCCATAAGAATGTTGAAACGACTACCACTCCCAAGTGCAGCTATGAATAGTTTGTCGAAGAACACCAAATCTCTATCGTTTACAACGTTAGCTTTGTATAGTACGAAACAATATGAAAACAAAACCAACATTATAACCCTAAACCCTATGGTATTATGTTTCCAAACTGTCCATGCGTGCAAACCCTCTAACCCACAAAATTTATGAATAGGTTGGGTTTATTATTTAATAATTGTTTAGGTTTAAAAATTTAAAACCCTAACAATGAATTCAAGGAGGGACTAACCCCAATCCCAATCCGTTTAGGAGGAACCAACCCCCTAAATCCTCTGTTACACTCAGAAGAGTTACACTTGAAGCAATTACACTCAACCAACAAGTGAAACGCCTATGTTATATACGCACCATTGAAAACCCAGGAGCGAGGGAGCCCACTTTACAAAGAAAGAATGGGAGCCTTTTATCAAAAGTATCCCATGTGTCTTGGATTATCCACTATTTGGTTCAGCATTCCGGACAAATGTTGTCTATGTGTGTGTGTATATATATATATATATATGTATAATGTATACATATACGTATGAATAATTTAGGGATTGGGTTATTATGAGAGTGAATAGTAAAAAAGTGGATGGATAAGTGTGCGAAAAGCAGTTGGAATGGAACAGCTCAACAAAGCGTGAAATTCAACGGCGCCTTCTTTGTCCCTTTGTTCACACGAGTGATTCCAAAAATGCCCAACTGACGCCACCATAAAAATTCCAAATTTTAATATTTATTTTTTTTATTACACCATAAAATATAATATGATGCTCCATAATTGACTCATACGAGCCACCATACAGAATATTTCGTGTAACTCGTGAGATAGTTTAACTAGTTAAGATATACCTTTTCAATTAAAAAAAAAAATAATTTTTCATGTCGTCTGAACTCTAAAAAAACACGGTCTTGTTTGAGCTCGAAACCTAACACGTGGAGTATATTATTATAATATAATATATTCTTAAGACTTTTTGGGTATGTGTACCAAACCACTGCAATGGGAAATCATAAGCAAGAAGGAAAAGTTATGTATGTGAACAGTTGAGGCCATCCATGGACTGCCCTAAAAAGTTATTTTCAGAGTACGTAATGGTAAACAGCTAACCAATAGAACAAAAACACAAAAGATTGTTAGCGTGACACCGAATCCATGACTTTCGACATCAATTTATTTGTTTTTTTGTACAATGAGTTGAGAAGTTTGAAGGTTCTTAAACTTAAACCTACACGTCTTTGAACTTTTATAGTCTTACTACGACCTCAAATTTTCAATCATTACGAGGCGTATATGATATTTTTTTTTCATAGGTTGAACGACTATATAATATTATTGTAGGATCACGTGATATCCTTTTTGATGGGTTTGGGTTGGATCCCCATAAAGATTTGAGTATCATTTACATATTTAGTCCCCCCATGGCTTATCTCTCTCAACCATTTTATAGCTTTTCTCTGCCCCCTTTATCTCTCTCTCTCTGGGGAGGGAAAGGGAGAGGGGGAATGGCTTGCCTTGCGTACAATTGTCTTTCACTTAGTTAGGCACACAACCCAACTATCACTATTCGTGCATGTGCTAAAATTGTACCTTTACTTGAGAGAGAGAGAGAGAGAGAGAGAGAGAGAGAGAGAGAGAGAGAGAGAGAGAGAGAGAGAGAGAGAGAGAGAGAGAGAGAGAGAGAGAGAGAGAGAGAGAGAGAGAGAGAGAGAGAGAGAGAGAGAGAGAGAGAGAGAGAGAGAGAGAGAGAGAGAGAGAGAGAGAGAGAGAGAGAGAGAGAGAGAGAGAGAGAGAGAGAGAGACTATACTCACGTACCAACACGGATTCTTACAACATGTTCTCATGCATGTTTAATCATGAAGTTTCTATAATTGAGCTACCAAAAAAAGAAGGTGCAACTCATTAGTATGAGTAGAACTTTCATTTCTTTTAAGTCTTTTTTAGTTCTCCTATTCTCATTATCGCTCTTATCCCATACATTCCATACATTCACTACCATCCATAAATAATTGCAATAGATTTATATAACCTAAAGATGTTTTTTTGATAAAATGGTTTAAAAAAAAAAAAAGAAACAACACATTATTCAACAGCATTGCATGTGGAGAAACATAAAGTCCAAAAGAAAACATTTATAATATTATCAAGCACTTTAGTTCATGCAAAAATGCCTTTAAAAATGATATATATATATATATATATTTAGTCATATTAATAATGTTAAGATTGATTATGTTGCAATTCCGACAGCATGGGACTGACAACCTAATTTGTCCCCAATATAAAATAATATTAAATAAAATATTTAATGTAATATTTTAACTGAAAACCATGGGGCAAGATATGGGATAGCTCATAATAGAGGGAGCAATGTTAGTTAATTACATGACTAAACAACAATTTTATCTATTCCTATTCTTTATTACTATTATAACCCGTTCGCCATACCTAATTTAGTCGGAGGTTTTTACTTATAAATTTCTGTCTTTTTCTATAATTCTCGTCTGATTGGATTCGACCAAGAACAACAATTTTATCTGATCCATTTTGCTCCATCGGACCTCGGCTTGTCTAATCCCATTTCAAATTTATTTTTACCCTTTAGTATCAATATTAATTTAACCTTATTATTCTCGAAATTAAAAATTTGGGAAATCTAAAGAATATTTTTGAGTTATTGAGTGAATTGCAGATTGACCAAATTTGACTTGATGTGGACCGTAGATCATAATCCAACGGTTATAATTGGCTAAAAATGGACCCCCCGTGGCTAAAACTTTACCTACAAGTACATGCGTTGGATTCTTCTTTCCCTCGCCAGCTCAATTATATCTCAGTCTAAAAATGGGCTGTGCCGTAGCCATGCGTTTCAAATCCTCCATTGACAAACCCCAACCCTGGATCAACTTTCTCCCGGCATCCCCTTTCCCTGACCACCAAGAACTCACCGTCGCCACCAATCTCAGCTACGACCCCGCCGCTCTCACCTCCGCCGCCACCGACTTCGGCCACATGCTCTCCAACCCACCAGCTGCCGTCCTCTTCCCTTCGTCTATAAACGATATCGCTTGCTTAATCAAACTCGCCAATTCCTTTCCCGCTCCATTCAGCATCGCCGCCAAGGGCTGTGGCCACTCCGTCCGCGGCCAAGCAATGGCCGGAAACGGTGTAGTTGTCGAGATGACTTCCATGAATAATAATAATAACAACAACACCCGAATTGCTATCTCCGGCAACCCCTCCACGGGATACTTCGCCAATGTCGGTGGCGAGCAGCTTTGGATTGATGTCCTCAACGCCACTCTCGAACATGGACTCGCACCGGTGTCGTGGACCGATTATCTTTACCTCACTGTCGGTGGGACATTATCGAATGCTGGTATTAGCGGCCAGACGTTTCGATACGGCCCGCAAATTAGCAATGTTATTGAACTCGACATCATTACAGGTATTGTTGTGTATGTAAAAATAGGATCAAAAGGGACAAAGAAAAGGACATAATTTGATATTATTTGCATGTGTTTTGTAGGTAAAGGAGATTTTGTAAACTGTTCGCCACAAAAGAATTGCGAGCTCTTCCATTCCGTCCTCGGTGGTTTAGGCCAATTTGGAATCATTGTTCGAGCTTGGATTCCCTTATTCCCAGCTCGAAAGAGGGTACGAGTCTGTTTTTTAATAATCATTGGATGTGAATTCAAAAATCTATATGTCTCTAATAATTGTATTTTCCGTCAATTTTATTTAGGTAAAGTGGGTTAGAATTCTCTACAGTAATTTTAGCGAATTTACAAAAGACCAAGAACGATTAATCTCAATCAATGGAAGAGAACAAAAGGGAGCATTGGACTATTTAGAGGGTATGCTTCTAATGCATGATGGTCCCCCAAACAGTTGGAGATCCTCCTTTTTTCCATCCTCTCATCACTCCAAAATCGTCTCTTTGATTAATCAACATTCCATTATTTACTGTTTGGAAGTCGCCAAATATTACGATCATCCCTCTCCCAATACAATCGATAAGGTATTCATCGTAATCATCCTCGCATCCATACTACTTTCATTGTTTAGGGTTTGATCTAAACGCTGGTTTCTTCTCGTTTATGTAGGAACTCGATGATTTGTTTGACGGGCTAAACTTTTTACCTGGGTATAAGTTCGAGAAAGATGTATCGTACGTTGATTTCCTAAATAGGGTTCGAAACGGAGAATTGAGTCTTCGGTCTCAAGGGTTATGGGATGTTCCTCATCCATGGCTAAATCTCTTCGTACCCAAATCCGGTATTGCCGAATTCAATTCAGGTGTTTTCAAGGATATCATTCTCAAACAAAAAGTTACAACAGGACCTATACTCGTCTACCCGATGAATAGGAGCAAGTAATTACTAAATCTCTTCAAATTTCTTAATTTTTATCGACAAGATCGACTAATTAAAGTTTGACGAAAAACAAATAGGTGGGACGACAAAATGTCAGCAGTTATACCAGACGAAGACGTGTTTTACGTGGTTAGTTTTTTGTATTCAAGCGGGTTGGATGATTGGGAATCCATGGATGAGCAAAACAAAGAGATATTAAGGTTCTGCAACAGTGTTGACATGAAGATCAAGCAGTATCTTCCTCATTACAAAACACAAGAAGATTGGGCGAATCATTATGGATCAAAATGGAAAAGGATTCAAGAGAAGAAGAACGAGTTTGATCCCAAAATGATTCTGTCTCCAGGACAGAACATTTTCAACCCTTAGAACTCTTTTTTTTTTATTATTGTTATTATTATAATATCCTGTCTGTCTTTTTTTTAGGGTATTCCTCGTATTAATTTTGTTAGATTATTAAATAATAATAATAATATACTTAACCCATAATCCTTTTTAGGATTAAAATATGAGGTGGCAGCCATAATTATTGCATTAAAAGTATAAATGTGGATATAATGTAATGACCTAGATCTATTGCTAGCAGATATTGTCATCTTTAGGCTTTTCTTTTCGGACTTCTCCTCAAAGCTTTAAAACGGGTAGAGAAGGTTTTCACACTCTTATAAATGAATGATGGTTTGTTCTCCTCTCCAACGAAGGTAGGACATCACATATAATAATGGTAAGTTAAGGAGGCACATGGGGGCCTGTTTCCTTAGTACATTTATGGACATAAAAATAGTGGCATGGATCTTAATTTGAATAATACTAAAAAAAATTATTGATGTTCTTTATTTTTTAAAAATTAAAAATACTATTATTAATTTTAAAAATGTGATTATGTCCACGAAATTAAGAATTAAAAAATAATAAAAAAAGGATGTTGTCAATCGGAGGCATTTTGTTTTCATTTTGTTTCGTTAATTATTATTAATTATTATGGAAGAACAAAATGATTAGGGAAAAGAGTGTTAAAACTCAATATATTATTTTAATAATATTATATTTATATATAATTTCGAACATGCACTCGGTGTTGCCTAACTTCTCCTCTAAATTTGAGATTGTCGGGTCTAAGAATATTCGTGTACCTACCGACTATAAGTATCCCTCAACTTAACTGTCATGTAGGACATGTTTTATGTTTGTAAGGTGTGCAAATATGCCCAGACTCTTTACATGTCATGGAAGGTAGAGCACTCAGTTAAACTAAGATTTCATATCTGGAGAGAGAAACGAAACATTCCTTTACAAGGGTATGGAAATCACTCCATAAATTGACGCGTTTTAAGACTATGAGATTGATGATGATATGTAAGCTAAAGTGAACCATTTATTTTTTCCCAAATAAAATAAGTAAATTAAAACTTTATAATATTTAAAAAAACACATTTTGCACACCATTTTTATTAACGAAACAAAATCAATAGGCTGTCTGAAACCTATCCTAAATCAATAGGGGTAGTTCATATCCTTAAAATTCGACAGCAAAAGTAGGTTATATTATGTCACATGTTTCACTCAATAAATAATAAATAATTAATTAATTAATTACTGCATGAAAAACGTTTTTATATAATAAGTTGACCCACTCACATTAATATATACATATATAGTTGAAGAATATCCATAGCATATATATTTTTTAGGCAAAGTTATGAGATTAATCAAATTTGGACAGCAAAATATTGGTTTATAAAGAGAGGGAAAAAAAAAAATCTTTGAATATGATGTGATATGTTTTGGATGTGTTCATGCCCTTTTCCTTTTCACATTTATAATTATTTCGAGCGTTTTTATTTTCTCGTTTTTCGATTCCTCTAAAGAAATTTGTACACGTGAGCATATATTCAGGTCCTATTGGATATTGTATTAGCATAAAGATATCATGACACTAGGGATTCGATTATTATTTTAGACAAAATATGACGTATTTCATATTTAAGACATCAAATTCGTATCTTTTTTCACGGGTTACATTTTTTTAAGAACGAAATGACTAACTAAACTGTATGTTATAAAAGCTATACCTAACCTTACTTTGGACCAATATGAGTGGTTGGAAGTAGATTTATAGCATTGACTCGATTGCCTCAAAGACTAACTCGTATGGGATAAGCAATTGAAGTCAAAGTCATATGGTTGCTTGGGGTAGCAAAAAAGATCTATCATATCATAACAATGAGAAGATGTTTGAAAAAATTGGAGATTATTGGGTTAGAAAATCTTGGTAGAGAATCTGGAACGAAAGTGAAATACCCATTTGGTCCAAGCAATCCCAAGTCTTGTCGTTGTCGTTGTCTTTGTCTTAGTTCTATAAACTAGCTACTTTATCTAGGGTAGGCACGAGATTGAGGCCAATGTGCATGTTCTAAGAAAATAATGGCAAACATACCAGATTTTGTAGAAGACTTACCAAGATATCTTTCTTCTTCTTCGAGAAGAAATTAAGAATCTAAAGATATGACAAACAAGATCTGCGTATATGTTATTCGTTGATTTACGTAATATAGAGTATCAAATGGGGTTAGCAAAATCGAATCTAAAATATTGTGTTTTTTTTTTTTTTTTATCTTTGAAAATGTAATAGCCCAACCTCACTGATAGCAGATATTATTCCGTTCAGCTTATTACATATCATCGTTAGTCACACGGTTTTTAAAATGTGTCTACTAGAGAGAAGTTTTCACAATCTTATAAGAAATGTTTTGTTTACCTCTATGACTAATATGGGATCTCACAGAAAATATCACTTTCACTCATTTTCCATATGCATGACTTTGGTATTCATTTGGCCGTTCCTATCCCATCAAATTTAACCTAACTTTTACTTTTTATGTCTGTACACAAACATTGTTTGTAATAATATGATATTGTTTGTTCTACATTCGTTGAATTTTAATTTAAATTCTAAACGAGAAAGTCTATATAAAAATATTATCTTTAAGCTCGTGAATTCAGAAGATATTAGGACCTAATATAAATTTGATTTTTGAATTTGCAATATTATCCAAATTACAAACATTATTATTTTGTATAAATAAATAATTAATTTAAGCTCCATTTTCTTCAAATATTTATGATATGGTACCTTTTTTATTGACTATGGGTGGTGAGACTAAGTGGATTTATGAGCATATAATTAAAAATCAAATCAAACATTAATTATTAAGATTTTGTCGGTATAATATCTACCTATGATCGGACAACAAAATCCTACACATAATCTTTCACAATGTCTCAAAATTACCTTTTTAATGCTAAAAAAACAAACTAAAAGCTTCACTCTTTTTTTTATTATTATTATTTTTTTAATATTTACTTCAAATTCTTCTCTTTTTTCGTAGGACAGTGATGCTTCAGAATTGAAATGGGCTGGGCCATTCTATTAGCCCAGGTCCATTTGAAGTAAATTGGGCCAACAGGCGTATTGGGCTGTTTGATATGGTTTGGGCCATTCGATTAGCCCAGATCCATTTGAAGTAAATTGGGCCAACAGGCTTATTGGGCTGTTTGATCTGGTTTGGGCCATTCGATTAGCCCAGATCCATTTGAAGTAAATTGGGCCAACATGCCTATTGGGCTGTTTGATATGGTTTGGGCCTTTCGATTAGCCCAGATCCATTTCAAGTACATTGGGCCAACAGGCTTATTGGGCTCTTTGATCTGATTTGGGCCATTCGATTAGCCCAGATCCATTTGAAGTAAATTGGGCCAACAGGCCTATTGGGCTGTTTGATATGGTTTCGGCTATTCGATTAATGACTCTTTAATTTATTCATGATTGCTGATGTTTGAATTATCATCTTTTTAACCCCTTTTTCAACTTTTTGTATGCAATTCTTTTTTTTAAAGAATATATAATTTTATTTTGCATCCATATCCATTTCTTTGTTGTATGGTACGATAATTCAAACCTTTAATATAAGAAAACGAGAAAGAAAATGATAGAATGTCAATTACTGTTGAGTTATATTTATTTTAGCTCGATTATATTGAACTTCAAAAGACAGTTCATTTGAGCGATTTATGTGTTTGTATCCTTATCAACTACTTTACCATATTTTTAGTTTATAGTTTTAATAAATTTAGATTTATACAGTAAAGATGGAATAGCTCTATCGATTACAAAGTTGTCCAATCGAGCCTAACTTCAAAAACTAACACAGCATCATTGAGATGGAACAACATTGACCGAACGAAATGATAAAGAAAGAGATCTATCAACGTTTGAAATAGAGAGCGAGGCGTGGTCAGGGATGAAGAAGATACTTCTGCCTTGATATAGCCGGGATGGAATAAATGCGGTTAGATTGCTTATCATATGATGTGTAGCCTCCCGTATAAATGTCAAAAATCAATTGAAAACTGTATTTAAAAATACTATTTTGTATATTTTAAAAATTCTTAAATTAAAATTCATTAAAATACAGAAACTAAAACTGAATATTCTGAATTTTTGAAAAGATTCAATAAATTTTTAAAATTTTGAAATAATTTCTATTTTCCTAACATTTTTTAAGCAAAGGAAAACTATTAACTACTCTATCCAGATTAATTTTGCTATAAATGATCATTAATTCAAAACCGTTATCTTTTCCCATTCAAAAAAAAAAAAAAAAAAAAAAAAAAAAAAAAAAAAAAAAACTGTTCTTCCCACAACGATTTGAGTGAGGAATTTTGAGCCCATCAATTTAGATATTAAGTCGGAAGATGCAGAAACCAAGTAGCAATTTCTACAATTTTTAAACAAAAAGTACAATAAAATAACATTGTATTCGTAAAAATGGCGAAGAACAGGAAGCTCTGACAACCAAGCAGAAAATCAGAGCACCAATCTCGATTATGAAAAAGCCCAATAAAATTGAAATTTTTTTAAAAAAGAAGCAAATAAGAACAGGGTCTCATTCATTCTTTAGAGATTTAGCGTCAGTTTCTTTCAGAGAAACGCTTCTTTTGGTCTCGTTCATTCAAAACGTATGGCTTCGCAGAGCTCTGGGTTTTTCAATACATCGCCCTGTTTGTGGGTCTTCTTCTTCCAACCTCCTCCTCATTGTTCTTGCTTCTTCAACTTTTAAATCCCTAGCTCATTCCTTTGAATCTGTTTCTTCTGTTTCTTCGATGCTGAATAAATTTATCGTCGTTTGAGTTTGTATGAGATGGAGGTTCTGGTTCCAACGATGCTTCACCTACTGATTCTTTTGGTCACTGTTCATGCTTCCGAGCTTCGGGAAATTGCAGGTAAATTTCTTCCTTATTCGCATTTGGATTTTACAATCTGGGTAGTTGAAATTTGAATGAACTTGAGTTGATCTAGTGGAATTGCT